ATGGAGAGAAAGGTGCGTGAAATGAGAGCTAGAGAGTGGAAACCGAGCAGGCCGAGTTCTTTGCAGAAAAGCCGAGGAAAGAGGATATTCAAGAGACGAATCAACCTCACGAAGAATTCGCGGTTTACAGCCGGGGAGCTTTTCTTTTTCTTTGTAGCTTCCACTTCTTGGGGTTCTCCATTGGCAGTAACCGGGTCGGTGCCCTTAACCTGTTTACTAGTCCTTCTCTTGAGCTTGCCATATACGTAAGGGGAAAGTTTTTTTGCCCCATACAGCGCAACAAGAAGGACAATGGTGTTTCTCACAAGGGGTTTCTTCAGCTCGGAGGGCAGTTTTGAGTACACAGACATTTTTCTTTGTAGCTTATCAATACTGAGATCATTCAAAATGAAAGTTATTGAAAAGCAGGTTGCTAATGTACACAGCTATATGGACGTCTATTCATGTAAACTAATGTAAATGTGATTTCAGCAAACTGACAGCATGTCTAACCCGTTCTATTCTAAATCTCAAACGTTTCAGAGACAGCAATGAGATTAAATGGAGAAAAGTGGAGAGTTGCGTGTAATTCTGTTATTAAGACCCTGCAATCTCACAAGTGTCTCCTCTAAGTTTCAGAAGAGAAATAAACTCAAATATTTCTCCTTCTAACAAACAATCCGAGCCTATGCCATACGCATTAAGGCCTGTAACTGTATGTCAACAGTCTCATTTGTGTCTATATTTGTTTCTGCTAAGTTTTAGGAGAAACATCTGAGACAGTTGACACTTATGACAGATCACCTCTGAACGAATTCTGTGGGAAATGTTTGTTTATACGATAAAGTAAAAAATGTTAAATGTTAGTATTTTGTAAGTAAAACGTAAAATATACTTAAAGTGGTAAATAAACTGGCAAACATTTTCTGACTTCAGAGGTAGTTCAAATGACAGCTAGCAAGTCAAGCTAATAAACTTAAGAGCACTAACGTTAACTTAAAAACAAAGAGCGGGGTGACACAAAAACTATATAAAACACTATTTACACGTTTACATCTCCACTATATTGAATCAAACAGCATGTAAATATAAAATAAGTGTCGTTTGAGCCGCGCTGCTAGCGCTGCTGGCTAATATATTCACTTTACTTCACCTTCCTCCGTCTAACTTTCCGTCTGTTTTGATCCACGTAAAAGTCATTTTCGCAGCGGATCGGAAATGTGGCAGACCCTCATCGTGACGAGCACATGCAATCCCTGTAATTTAACTTAATAAACGGTCCGAATGCAGAATAATAGCCGCCGGTGTGTGTCTGAGTGCAGGCGTAAATCCATCAGGATCACCGGGTCTCGGTAGAATCGCAGTAAACTGCGCCGATAGGTGGAGTAAACACGGACATTACTCACTTACGCCACATATTACAAAAGTCACACACTGTTGTTGTCATCATCACTAGCGTTTCCCCTTATTATTGGCTCTGTTAGTTTTATTCTGGCAAGATGTATTGTTGTATGATATATATCTATCTATAATTCGATTCACTTTACAGCTTTGGCACGATTGCAAGTAACACAATGTCGCCACAGACGGTAATAAATGCAGAAAACATTTAGTAATATGATCAGAGGCGGACAGTAACTAAGTACATTTACTTGAGTATTGTACTGAAGTACACTTTTTGAGTATCTGTACTTTACTTGAGTAGGCTATTATTTTTTCTGGAAACTTATGAATTTAACTTCACTACATTTGAAAGACAAATATTGTACTTTTCACTCCACTACATTTCTATCAAGATCCTCGAAGTAGAAAGTCGTTAGCAGCTTATTTATTAGCAATTATTTCTCAAATATTACAATATATAGCCTACTGCTACTGTACATTTAACATTAACTTAAGTGGTATGAAATAACTGGATGCAGCTGATTTCCTGTTGGACGATCTGAGCGTGCTCGTGAATCTTTTGATTCAGATCGGGACTTCGGATCGCCTATTGCGAATCTTTTTTTTTATTAAACAGTACAAAACATCAAACCAATAAGGCAGTATAGTTATAAAAACAAAAAGAAAGACAGACACAAATAGGCTACAATACAAATACAAATCTTTAAGAAAAAATTAACAGTGGTTTTACTAGCCTACAGTAAAAGTCAAGTAACAATGTTTTTTGTATAACCACAGTTTTACTACAAATACCATGGTTAATCTAGTGTAAGCAAAACCATGGTTAATTTGTGGTTACCATGGCTTAACTATAGTAACCATGTTTTATTCACCTTAAGAGGACATAGGTTGAATAGCCTATAAAGATGCAGTTTTCACTGCTTTAGGATTAACAGAACTTTTGAGAAGTTCCATATAGGCCTACTTGTCAAGATCAACTTTAAATAAAGAAAAGAGAAGTTTGGAGTCAGATTATTGTTTATGTGAAATGTAGCTAGCAGGAAACACAAATTAAAGTTGTATTTTCCTATAGGCTATTCTCTTTTGAGTAGTCAAACAATCCAAAGAAAACATCTTTAAAACAGAAAGAAAAGTCAGTTACAAAATAAGATTGGATGAACATTTAAAAATCTGACCAAGATGTCTCTTTGTGGGTACATTTTCAAAACAAGAATGACATCTTCATCAGAAGGGTGACTAAAACATCAACTCACTTCAATGCCTGATTTATAATTATGTCATTAAGCTTTTTGTTAAATTTTAATTTACTCATCATTAATCTGTTGATCGTCCCCTTATTTAAGGAGAGAACTATAGTTTCCAAAGTCTGACATTGCTTGTTATGATTTTCAAGGGATGCTATAACATGTCCCCAATATCCAGCGACTACTAAATTGTCCCTATAGCAATAATTATGATCAAATAATTAAATGCCTGTTGTCTGCCATTATGTCCCCACCAATGCCAAAATCAAATACGCCTTCTTTCAGTCATCCAGTCAGTGCATGTAGGCCATGTTAAATAACACAGACCACTACATATGACCAAAAACACTTTATTAAAAACAAACTTTGTACAGTCTTGGTTTTTCATTAGATTTTTTTTTCAATAGAGATATAAAATGTTGAAAACCAAAGAGAAAACAGCAAATTAGCCTATACAGTTAGAAAGGTTTCTTCCAAAAGCGATAAAACATATGAGCAGGGAAACAGCAAATAAAGAGAGTTCGGGAAGGAATTTTAAAATTGAAACTGAGGAAATAAAATCCTCAATAGTGTCCAAAACATGTAGGGAACATCTTCAAAAAGATTTAACATTTGGTACAGCAAAACAGATATGACAGACTTCATTGGTTTTATTTGCCTCCAGTTCGAATCAACAGCTATTAAATTTTATCTTTAATCAAAAATAAAAGGCTGTTATCCTTCATATTCATCGTCCTTTAGATCATTATCTAAAGTGAGTGCAACAGGATCTTTCAAAACATTTGAAATAGATCACCTTAAATGTCCTCAGCAAGGTTTTACAAGCTTCATAAACATTCTGCAACCTTCTCAACCGTCTCACGGGTGTTAAACTCTGTTTTTAAGAAAAGAAAAGTTATTTCTATTAGAGACACTTCCATGCATTAGTGGTGTTGATTCAAATGGACAGACCACAATCAGAGCAGCTTTCAGTGTAGTCCTGAGACAAGCACGGCAGCATTTGGTGACAAAGTATCTGAGAAAGTTTGGATTGCTTCAGTAAATTCAACTCTCAGCGTTATATTCTACAGATATATTCATGGTGAAGGCATCTGACATGTAGAAGCTTTTCAAGACCTACATCAAGTTGCCTACATAACAGTGAACCAAATAAAAATCAGGGAACAATAGAGAAGGAGTAAAGAAGAACCGATACCCGCATGCATTAGTACATCAAGGTTTTTTTCTGAAGGGAAATTAGGTCCCTTTTTCTGAAGTCATTGTTTCTACAAGTCTTCCCCGCCACATTTGCTAGGCACAATGGTCAAAGGTTGGCATCCTGGCATTAGTAGGCAACGCCACATTCTGAGTATCACTATTCAAATAAATTCTAAAGGAGGATGCGGGAAAATTACTAGTCTTGGCAAAGTCCTGATTTGGTTAATTAATCCTTTTCATTTCATGCAATCTAATTACTGAAACATACAGTAAATATTGACATCTGCAGTCAATCCGATAGGAAAAACAATGAACAATTGCAATTAAGGGGCTAGACACAAGAAGCTGGTGATTCCAAAAGGGTCTGGCTGCAGCTGGCGCTTGCACTCTCAGACTTGCACTCTCAGACACTTGCACTTCCGCTAGCGACGTCACTTGCAGTCTTTATTATTTTTTATTTTGTTCTATTTATTGATTAATTTTTGTTTGAATCTCTCAACATTTTACAACAGTAGCCAGGTGGTGAAGACAAGAAAAAAGAAACTAAATTACAAAGGCACTTGCAATCGCCACTTGCACTCTCCGATACCTGCGACGTCACTTGCAATCGACACAAATGGTGCATGTTGCCAGTGGAGACAAGACGCTGTGGTGATTAAACGATTAAAACTAATTTAGTACCGTAACCTACAGGGTCCTGCAAGAAAAAGACAAGACCCGCAAATCCGTGACCAGAACAGCAGAATATGAACGCATGCGCAGTCTCTCGTTAAGCGTTTACTTCTTGTAGAAAAACAAACACGTGTCTGAGAGTGCAAGCGCCAAGCTGCAGCCAGACCCTTCTCGGTGATTCTTGCGACAAGCACTGCACCTGGCCGGACGCTTTGCATGCATCTGCAGTGGATGCTGCTGATTTGAATGGATCCAGAACCCCCTCAAAACAGACCATGGGGCTCCTCCTAGTGGCCAATGATATAAATTCCTGATAGTTTTAGAAGGAGTCTCAGCGAAACATGCAACATGATTCATATTTCACCCCAAAATCAAACGAAATAAACGATTATAGTATTTTGTTAAACAGGCCTATTTTTCTACTATTTTTATTATTATACCTTTTAAAAAAATAATAATAATAATAGTATTTTTTTGACAGTATTTTATAAAATGATCTTCTCCCTAAATAAAATGTAGCCTATTTTTATATTATTATTATTTTGCATTTTGACATAATTTTCATGAAAACTAAGCACATTTCCCTCTCAGTTCTCATTATCATAATGCATCCGGTTGTTTTGCTTTTGAGCATTTTTATATTTCTCATTATTCTTAGTGATCATGCACATTATATTTTTAGTACAGTAATTCAAGTTAATCCTGTCCAGAAAGGATTCTTTTTTTAAATCAGCATAAATCTAGCAAAACAAATACTATGATGATCCTTAAATCCATTAATATGATTTATTTTCTATTCTCTTACAGTAATGAGAAGTGCTTTTTCTAGTCATGAAATTGTCATAATGCACATCTTTTTTCAGGTTCTGATTTCCTATTTTAAATAATGTAGACCAAAACAATAATTTTTTCTTGTGATTTTGAAGTGAAATGTGTTCTTGACAGGTTTCATGAGATTCAACCTTTCATTCTGGTTCCATTTTTGTAGAAAATTCAATTTTTATATATAAAATGTCATTTATTCTTTATTCTACCTGTAAATTTCTCTGTTTTCGTTGTGACTGTGTATATTAATACCGGTATATAATTACAGCCTGAGGAAGAAAGCATCATAAATATGAGTGATACAGATGTTGTTTGAGCCGCACAGCGACCTTTGTGGCATTCTTATGTCATCATCCTGAATGAGCACATTTATACTCCTCCACGTTATGATTTAGTTACGGAATTATAAATTTCATGAGTCCCTGACTCATATAACAGTCCATCAAAGTATAAGATTTGGCTTGGTTCTTTTCTCCTAAATATTTTCAAATTGCTACTCAGAATGACAAAACCAAAACTCAAATGATTAAGTTTGTCTAAACACAGTCTTCTTGATTGTAATTTGCATAGAAATATTTCCATAAAAACGTTGAGAAGATCCTGATTCTATTTCAAAGGGCCTTGCATGTCCAGTACTACTTGTGGAAGGTCTCACCAGCGAGCAGCGACCAATACTGGATTCTCATGAACAACAAGAGCTCTTTGTATATATTTTGTGACAAATCCATATCAAGGCTGGAAACAGTTTGATAGAATGAGCTCACATTGTTCACTAACAGGAATGTGCTGACATATTGTCTCTTTTGCCAGAGATTGCTACTACTTTTGCTGATTAAAAGGGAAACTATCATAAGAAGTCTGCAGGAACCCAGAGATGATGTGAAACTAGAAGACAGCTTGATTTCATGCTGAAAAGGGTCTTGAGTACAAGTATACTTAGCGCATGTTAGTATAACAAGGATGCTAGACTGATTTCTGTCAGAATTCTTAAATTCTAACTGCTGAAAGGAAGCAAAAAGTTGTTTTAATAGTCCATTTTGGCATTCTCTCAGTCTGCCATTCTATACACACGTAAGCTGGTGTTTGCTGTAGTCTCTTTGTGTTTGCATGAGTGTGAGATTGTTGGTTTGCGCGTCAGACCAGCGTGCCTGGTGTGGGTCTGTCATTACCGCTCTCTTTAAGTGTCATGTCCTGCATCTTGGATGAAAGGGTATCTTGGTACAAAGAAAGCTCCATCGACCTATAAGTGACAAGAAAGAAGAGGTAAAAATCAGATGACATTGAGGAAAATCAAATATATATAGAACAATGTATCAGAGTTTCCACAAACATAAGCAGCTCAGCTACTGTATTTTTAACACTGAAAATAATAGGAAATGTTTTTTAAACAGCAAATCAGCATATTATGATTTCTGAAGGATCATGTGACGCTGAAGACTGGAGTATTGATGCTGAAAATTCAGCTTTGCATCAAAGGAATAAATTATATTTAAAAAAAATAGAAAACTGTTCTTTTAAATTGCAATAATATTACCAATATTTTACAATATTGTACTTTTAATGTGGGCTTATTGAGCATCAAATATTCTTTAAAAAAACATTTGAAAATCTTACCAACCTCAAACATTTGAATGGTAGTGTATAAATATAAAATATTTAAAATGTTAATTTAATGTTAATTGGTAATTCTTGTTCAAGGATCACGACACATTTTTTTTTAAATGTAATTGATTCCTGTGATAGCTCCAGTCCTCAGTGTATTAAAACAGAAAACAGTTATTTATTAGTTTATTCAAATAGAAAACAGTTATTTTAAATGTCAATAATATTTCACAATAATATTTCAAATATTTCAATATAAAATAATTAACGTTAATTTAATAACATACTATTGTTTATTCAAAATATATTATTATTATTATTAATTCCTGTTCATTCAAAATATTGTGATGAAAATTGCATTACAAAATGTATTAGTATATGCAGAAAAGAACATAATATCTAATGTAATAATTAATACAAATGTATTAAATGTACACTACCACTCAAAAGTTTTTGAATTTTTTTAAATGTTTTTTTTAAAGACGTCTCTTCTGCTCACCAAGCCTGCATTTATTTGATCCAAAGTACAGCAAAAGCAGTAATATTGAGAAATATTTTTACTATTTAAAATAACTGCTTTCTATTTGAATATATTTTAAAATGTCATTTTTTCCTGTGATTTCAAAGCTGAATTTTCAGCATCATTACTCCAGTCTTCAGTGTCACGTGATCCTTCAGAAATCATTCTAATATGCTGATTTGCTGCTAAAAAACATTTATTATTATTATTATTATTATTATTATTATTATTATTATTATTATTATTATTATTATTATTATTATTATTATTATTATTATTATTATTATTATTATTATTATTATTATTATTATTATTATTATTATTATTATTATTATTATTATTATTATTATTATTATTATTATTATTATTATTATTATTATTATTATTATTATTAT